GTAAGTGGAGGCCGGGCGCGCAGCCCGGTGCGACGGTTCCCCCGGGGCCGAGCCCAGCAGGTCCCCACGCCGTCTGGCTGCGCCGCTGCCTGGTCGCCAGCACGGTCCCCTCCCGGGCGCCCGGCCCTCCCTCCGCCTGCTGGAAGGCTGACCCCAGGCTCCTGCGCCCCCCACCTGGGCGCTCCCTGTGGGCCCTGCCCCGGGCCCGCAGCTCTGGGCAGCCTCCTCCTCGCAGCCTGCTTGCCCACCTCCTTCCCCTCTGCCCAGGGAGTCCCCGCGAGCATGGTCATTGGTCTGGGCACAGGAGTGTGCAGTCGGCCCGGGACAGTGTGTCCTGGGAGTGAGCCCAAGGCCACTTGTGGCCAGCCCGGAGAGACGGCCAGGGCCAGCTCCTCGGGCCCAGCCCTGGCCGGGAAGGAGGCGTCTTGCCTGGAGATATCCCCCGGTTTTGTTTTATCTTGTCCCTTTTCCTGTCTCGGTGGTGGGGCCGTCCGGGGAGCAGGTGCCTCGTGGCCATGGGTCCGTCCAGCGGTAGGGTCTTGCTCCTCCGTGCCCAGGCTCATCCTGCTGGCTGTCCTGCTGCTGCTGCTGTGCGGGGTCACCGCCAGCTGTGTCCGGTTCTGCTGCCTGCGGAAGCGGGCGCACGCCCAGCGGCACCTGCCACCAGCACCCCAGCCTTGTGACCTGACCCTCTTCCCTGTGGACAGTGACAGCCCCGCGCACAGCACTGTGACCTGTGAGTGCCTGCGCACCTCGCCCGGTGGCCCACCCGCCCAGGGGAGGGGGGCGGGCGGGGGCCAGACCCGTCCCACGAATGCATTCTGCTTCCCTGCAGCCTACAGCTCCGTACAGCACCCGCTGGGCATGCGGCTGTCCCTGCCCTTCGGGGAGCTGGACCTCGACTCCATGACGCCTCCCGCCTACAGCCTAGTCTACACCCTCGAGCTGCCTCCTTCCTATGATGAGGCTGTCAGGATGGCCAAACCAGGACAGGAAGAGCCGCCCCCTCAGTAGGCTAGCCCCCTCCCCCGGGCGTCAGGCCTAGAGACCCCTCCAAGGCCTGGGAGCTGAGCCTCCAAGCCCAACACCACCAGCTGTCGCCCTGGTGTCCCTCAGAGGGAGTGGGAATGTTCTCCCGAGCTCGTGATGCCACCGGCCACCTCGTGCTCACAGGAGACCCCCGGCCCACCCTCACCATCCTTCCCCCGGGAAGGCCAGACGTCCAGCACATTGCTGCAGCCCTGGCCTCGTTGCTATGCAACGCCAGGCAGACACACACACAGGGCGCTGCACCCAGCCGCAGCCCCTGGCCCCGCCCCAGCAGGAAGCCCCCACTCTAAGCCTGCACAGCTTTTTGGAAGGAATAAAATTTGTATCTAAGTGGCCTCGGCCTGTGGGAAAGGCTCTGCTTCGGGAGGGGCTCTCGGGCAGCTGCCCCCAGTGCAGCCAGACAGGGTGAGTGCTCGGGTCTGCCTGTGTCCAGCCTCACCTTCGGGCTGTGGTCATGGTCAGTATCAGGTATCACAGCAGGAGTGCCAGGCCGTGTGCCGTGAGTGACTCTGGGAAACCCTCTCCCTCTTCCAGACCCACATCTCTGCCAGGCTGGGGACAGTGAAGCACACACGAGTCTGGCAGGAGCGTTTATTGGCTACATTGCTGGG